TAATCAGTTTTCAATGCATTCCTATGGGAAATGGTGTTTCAACTTACGAACATTTCGACTTACAACATTCCAATATGGATTAAGTTTGTAAATCGCACCACTGTATAATATAAACCAAATCCCTTATGAATACACAGTGGAAGTGAAGAACAGATTTAAAGAACTAGATTTGGTGGACAAAGTGCCTGAAGAACTATGGATGGAGGCTCGTAACAGGGGCAGCAACAAAAACCATCCCAAAGAAAAGGAAATGCAAGAAAGCAAAGTGGCTGTCCAATGAGGCCTTACAAATAGCAGAGAAGGGAAGGGAGACAAAATGCAAGGGAGATAGGGAAATACACAGAAAATTCAATGCTGACTTCCAAAGAATAGCAAGGAGGGACAAGAGGGCCTTCTTAAATGAACAGTGCAAAGATATAGAAGAAAAGAATAGAAAGGGAAAAATCATAGATCTGTTCAAGAAAATTGGAGATATTAAAGGAACATTTTGATCAAAGATGGACATGATAAAGCAGAGGTCCCCAACCACAAATCTGTGGCCCAGTGCCGGTCCGTGGCCTGAGCAGAATTGGGCCGCTGAGACAGACCTCCCGCCCCACCCCCTGCATGCACTCACCCCTGCATAGCCCGTCTGCACCTGCGTGCACACTCCAGCACTGATTCCTTCATTGTTGACTTCATGAGCTGCTCCTTACAGAGCCTCTATTTACACTTCTGTGAACATACATCACATATACAATGTGTGTCATACAAAACATACAGAAACTCCTGGAATATGGGTGAGAAGTGCCAGGTTATAAGTGCTGTTGAAAACAGAGATACTCAGAGATTCTTGAAATAACAATTATAGAAAGGAGTTTCGTCAAAGTAACTGGATCAAATTTCCAAAGGTCGTGGAAGTGCCTGTCCAGACGTCCATTGTATCCACCAAATATATACAGCTCTCCATTGTAGCCAACTGTAAAGAACATGGAAAAGATGTGTCAGATTTTCTAAAATGTAGCCATTTCATATCAGGAGTATAGTTATGTCACTCTCACATCCTATCTCTAGAATGAAAGTTATTCATTCATTTGAAATTATGAAATGTTACAGATGGTTGGTGAGGAAAGAACATGGTAAGAAACTGACTCACTGTGTTAGTTCCTCATTCTTTACCTCTTGACACATGCACCCATGAGAGATACATTCTAGAGAGATGGGTTTTAGATGGAAAAGTATAGGGAAGATGACAGTAGCAGGTTCCTTCCATCAAGTTTTATCACTTATTCTAGAAGAACAGGGAAAGGGATTATCTTCTGAAGATGTTTGCCTGACCTGCCAAATTCAGACCTCAAACTGCTCATATTCTATCAAGTGTCATGATAGCTTACATGCTGAGTGGCTCCTTCTGCCTTCAGGGAGAACGGGTGTAGGAGGGAAGTCCAGCCAAGAGTTCGTGTCTGTGTCAAATACTTTGATTTGATTACAGTAGATCTCATTGTTGGAGTGAAATGGCCCATAGCGATCTGCTCTTCCCCCAAATACATACATATGTTTCCCGATGATTGTAGCCGAGTGGAAGTCTCTCCAACAAGCTGGGGTGCCCTGAAATAATAAAGTCTTGTTAAGTAAGTCAAGGGAACGGAAATTAGGGTGTGATCAGATGAAGATGAGGCTGTATATCTGAAGACACCAGAAAGTGTCGCTTGGCTACGAGGGCTCTCTTAAAGAGATCTTTCCATCAGTAAGGTAATTGCTCCAGCCTGGCCCCCAAAAGTAATAGCCCTTCTGCTGGGCCAAAAAAGTCTGGCTCTGGGTCAAGCTGGAATGCTACTGCCTGTACATCATGTGAACACCAAGAAATAACTTGCACTGGACCATGCCACAAGTGGTCCAAATTATGAGTTATATGACTGTGTGATCACACTCTTACCTTTGGAGTGAAAGATGTGGAAGGAGATGTGGTCTGAATGCCCACAATGCACTTGGGCTCCAAAGCAAAACATACTAAAGTTAAATAGGAAAGACAGTCTCACATATAGGACACAAATACACAATGATACCAATATTTACCTTAGTGCAGATCAGACTCCATGTCATGTTGCTGCTATCCAGCTTGTGGATGTCATTTGAAAAACAATCGGCCTGAAACAAACAGCAATTATTAAACTAAGGGGCATGCCAAAATTAGAAATACTGATTGCATCATGGGTTCCTAACTAAGGCCATGCTAACCTTGTCCTCCAGGATTGAAAACTCTACAAAAAGTAATTCTTCAGGATGTCCCCATGGAGTGAAAATGCATTCACAGAACTGGAAAAGATGACTGAGGAAGCTAAGTAGCTATTCAGTCGCACTTACTCACATTGCTGCATGCTGTCCAAAGCCCATACTGAATGTGGAATTATGAGCCCTATGGGATTTGCTAGAGTTACCTGATATCATAAAACATCTCCCCTTTATAGACAGAAAAGGAAGCAAAAAGATTAAAGCTATCATTTGCAGTAATATTCACTGGTTCCTAGAGCAGGCTTCAAATGGCAAAGTCTGCCTCTTTTCCTTCATTTTAAAATAAGTACTGTATAAGTTACTCTCATTAATTTCAGTGGGAGTTGTTAAAACATTCACTAAGACAGGCCAGAAAAGCCTTAAGCTATAATATTCTGAGAGGAATGCGCAATTATCAGCAACCTGCAAAAGGTTGCTAGATTGTAAGAACAGTATCTATTAACAGCCAGTGAGAGAGAATAGCTGGGACTCAACCAATTCCTCAAACCCCAAGGCCGTCTTCTATTTTGCTTCAGTACCTGCCTCACAGACTTCAATTAAGGCTACAGATCCACTGAAAATGGACTCAATCAGCACACGACTCCTGCCACTGAAAAGCTAGCGGAGTCCAAGAGGAAGCATACTGGACAGGCCGCAAAGGCTCTGTCCAAGTCACAGACTCATCTGATGGGCTTTGGTCAGCAAGTGCTCCAAATGATTCCGTTCCCCTAGCAGGAAGCAAAGACAATGATTTCCTTTCAACAAATGTAAGAATAAGAAGGAAGGAAGGCATTCTACATGCTTAGGTAAAGGTGAAGGTTCCCCTTGACATTTAGTCCAGTCGTGTCCAACTCTAGGGGGCGGTGCTCTTCCCGTTTGTAAGCCATAGGGCCAGTGCTTGTCCGAAGACAGTTTCCGTTGTCACGTGGCCAGGGTGACTAGGGCACACCGTTTCACCTTCCCACCGAGGTGGTACCTATTTATCTACTCGCATTTGCATGCTTTCGAACTGCTAGGTTGGCAGGAGCTGGGACAAATGACGGGAGCTCACTCTGTCACGTGGATTCGATCTTACGACTGCTGGTCTTCTGACCCTGCAGCACAGGCTTCTGCGGTTTAGCCCACAGCGCCATCATGTCCCTACATGCTTAAATAAAAACAAAATCATTGTCTCGGGAATCTGTACAATCTCCTCGCGGTGCACTTAATAGTCATTTGGTAAGGCAGGGAACTGGACAGCTCTACCCTTTAGACTTCTTTTCAAATCCATTTCCATGCGTAGATTCATTCCGTCTCTTAAGAAGTTTATGACATTTACCACTGTAACTTAACATTTATATGATATGGGCAAAAGGAAGGAGAAAGAAGAAAGTTCAGTAGGACCCTTGTATCTGTGAGAACAGTATCCTTGTTTTCACTTTCCTGTGGTTTACCGCAGCCCCGTATACAACATATGCAACTTTGTGGTCTTTGTCTCTCCTCCTTGTATGTTTTATATAGAATTATAGCCACAGTTTCAGGTATGCACGGTAGACTGTGAAACTGATCCCCGCAGATACGAGGGACCTACTGTACAGATCCAATGGATACGACTTGCTGAAAAGCCTGATACCTGAAACAGTAACATAAGTTTATTTATTTTTCTATTTATTTTGTAACATCTGTAGGCCATCTTTCTACCAATGAAGAGACCCAAGGCGTCTCATTGTTAAAACAAGCAATACTAAAACCCAATAAACTACAGATTAACAAGCAATTAAACAACAAAAATAATTATAAATCTATTTGTCAATTCGTTAACTTAAAAAAACAAACAGAAAAACAAAGCTTTTGCTCACCAGTAAAAGCTACAGGAGCTTGCTCTCTAGAAGGGAGATTCAGAGGTGAACACTCAAATATTTTCAGTAATCAGTTTTTAACTTTCAATGCATGTAGCCCATCAGAAAAGTTGCAGATTACAGTTTAACTGTTAACCAATTGAGAATCAGTGCTACCAAGGGCTTGATCAGATGGTCTTGCAATCCTATTTGTAAACTGTATTTTTTTAAAAAAATGATTTCCCTAGTTTAATGCTATAATGTTAAAATTAGCACTATAGCACTAAACTGATACAGCACTGATTCAAATGCTTACCATATTCAGTGTTCTTTCAGCACTGAGATGATACATGATGTATGAGCACTTGAAATGCACCTCTCCAGAATAACCTAACATTTCTGTGTGACCCATGTTAAGGATTTAAATGCCAGGTTGCCATTCACATCAATATAGGACTAACGTCTGTGCATTCGAAACCCTGTTTGTACAAGCAAGCAAGGATGCATGTGAAACTATTACTCTGAAAGCAAAAACTGGCTGAACAGTGAGATACTGGATGCCTCCACACATGACCTCAGAAATATACAAGTATTGGTGCACTCAGGATTTGTTCAAGCATAATGCCATTAGAACAGAAAAGACAATCACTATGGGAAAACCTACCACTTGCTCATATCCTCCAAAGATGTACATGCTCTTATCCAATACGCAAGCTGAATGTCCATCCCTTGCTCCTGGGACCGCTCCAGAAACTTTTGGTGTGAACCATTTGTGCGTATCTAATATGTTTTTTTTTTTTAAAAGAGAGACAGAGAAAGATTAACTATTACTAGTATACCAAGAACACTATGCTCAAGACTGAGTGACAAAAGACATAGTCTGAAGGGAAAAAAATCATTCCAGACATACAACACGCATCTCCCTTTGTAAGAAAGGAGTTCATTTTTTATGCTGGTCTCCACAAGGCAAAGTGTCAAGATTGCAATTCATACGGGAATTAACTTTCTCTAAGACAAATGCCAGCTGTGACAAACATAGGCTTCTGATTTTTGTCCAGAGCTCTTAGGAAAGTGTTCAAGCTTTCTGATCTGACAAAAGGATTTATGGATATCTGGGAGCTACCTTCTAACTCCTCAAAAAGCCTGCAAAGCTCCCCACCACACCCTGTGAAGCTTCAATATTACCCTACTCTGTTCCTAATCTTCTGGAAAGTGATTAATTTGTAAAGAGTATTTCTCATGGCCTCTGAAAAATATTCTTCACTTAGGACACTACTGCAAAGTTTAAGCAGACACCTGTCTTGGAAGCCCACATGGAAAAAAAGGGGGGACTATAATCCTTTGAGCAGCAGGAGATTCCCTAACCACAGTTGGCAATCAGCTCCAGTGCTGATTCCAGGAAGCAGCAATAGAGTGGCCGGTTGAAAATCATTCCATCATCAAGATCCTCCCACTGCCTGGCTTTCATCCACAGTCAGCCAGCCAGACACACAAGAATTGTACTGTAGCCCAATGCAAGGTCAACATGAACTCTGTGGAGATGATTAGCACGAAGGGAAAGTGAGCCTTCCTCCTAGTGGGATGCTTGCCATGCCTGGATTCTAAGTTCAGTCATGTGCTAGCCCTAAAGACCTCGGCCAAACGCAACACATGAAACTGGAGACTGAAGTGAGCAGTGCATCTAATCTAGATGGCATTTGCAATGCCAGCAGAGGACAATGCCCTGCAGAACAGCCTGAGGGTTTTGCCCAGCCTGGACTGACTCATACAAAAGGGCTTCCACCTTTTTCCTTGAGAGGAGGAGGATTAGTCTGCTTGCTTTCCAGGGATGGCACGAAATGGCCCCAGAACGTACATATAAGGCCACAGAGGACTCTGGGCAGCAACAGCTCCTCTGCAGCTTTTCGGGCACTTCTCATGAGTAGCAACTGCAAAATCAGTTTGGCAAGCTCTCCAACGGCTGCCTAAGCAACAGACTTTACCAAGATGGAGATTTTGCCTCTGCACGTATCTCAAGATACCAAGAAAGCAAACATGTTTTAAAAAAACTAGCCCTGGAAAGACAGTCCAAGCACAGACAACCTATTCCCATCTCTTATCACATGGGTGGCTTTGCCAGATATTAATGTTCTTATCTTTTTCCTCATTATGACTAATTTCCAGAGAATGATCTCATCACCCTGTTCCATGTCTAAAACCTGAATATGGAAAAGGTCTCCTATATATATCTAAGTACTGCAATGAATGATGTACACATACCAAAGAAGACACTTTCCTTGGAAACAGACATGATATGCCACAAAGCCTTCCCATGATTTTAGACATGGGGGCCTTTTTTTGGGGGGGGCAGCCCCATAAAATAAAATATGAAACCCTTGATGGATTCAGTTTCAGTTATACCATGGCATATGACTTGTAACGCCCAAGATGCTGTTGGAGGCGGTTCCCATCATCTCTCAAAATTCACCTACGCTGGCTTGGGCTAATGGGTGCTGGTACACATCAACATCTTGTGGGCCAAAGGTGCTCACGCCACCTTCAGTGCAACCACATCTGTTTCTCAGAGAATGAGCAATCTTCAAAAACAGTATTTTTATTTTATATCCCATCCTTCCTGGTGAGAGGCCAGGGCAGCTAGCAAGTCACATAAAAAAAGTCAAAATCACAAATTACAAATATTGCCAAGCATACATCATCATTGAGCAAACAGGCATGTTATCTGTCACCCTTCCTATGGTACATGCAAATCCATGTCTTTGAAAAGCAGTGTTAACTTGGAAAGAGAAAATAACCTAGGTAACATAGAGCCAAAAAGTCTGTTCCATAATTTGCATCATTTCCTGTAACATTCAGACAGCCATTAAAAGAATGCTGCCTAAACCAATCAATATAAAATTATTCCAACTTATTTTTTTAAAAAAATATCGCCTTTCTCCTAAAAAGGATCTAAAGCAGCTTACAGTATTGAAACAATATTAGACACTAAAACAATAAATTATTGTAATAATTTAACAAATATATTTTAAAAAAACAAATATATTAAAACCAGTAGATAAAAACAGTAAACTGTAATAAAAATATATTTAAAATAACAAGAACACCGCAGTTCCATCAAAAAAATATTCTTAGCCAGTCACAAAGAAAAAGCCTGCCTTAAGAGAAAGGTCTTTGCCTGCTTGCAGACACCCAGCTAAAACGGAGACCAGCCTGGTCCTGAGTAGGAGGGAGTTCCAGAGTCTAAGAGCAGTAACAGAGAAGGTCCTCTCCTGTGTCACCACCAGACTTGTGGATGTGCTTTGTATCATCAATTCATGAAGCAATGGTCACTGTAGGTTTTTTGGGCTGTTTGGCTGTTTTCTGGAGGTTTTTCTTCCTAATGTTTCGCCAGCCTCTGTGGTTGGCATCTTCAGAGGACAGGATTTGGAACTTTGTCTGTGTTCACCAGAACACAGTCCTCTGAAGATGATGGCCACAGAGACTAGCGAAATGTTAGGAAGAAAAACCTCCAGAAAACAGCCAAACAGCCCAAAAAACCTACAACCACCATCGGATCCTGCCCGTGAAAGCCTTCAAGAATACAATTCATGAAGCCTTTGTATAATACTGTGGATTGTACAATACTGAATACAGAATCCTGAGTTTGATTCCATACTGTTTTTAGTGATTATAGAATTTTTAAAAAATATAGATGTAAGATGTATTTAACAGTAATGATGAAAACGAAAAGCCTCAGTGAAAAAAGAGTTGCCACATGCACTAGCTCTACCGTTTTATCCAGAAAAGAACATGATTCTGAATTAGAGGACACAGTCAATGGAAAAAGAAGCCTCCCACTGGAGACTTTTCTCAGTAGCTGCTTCCCAAGCTTTCAGCTCTCTGCCAAGAGAAGCCGGTCTGGCCGCCTTCCTGTTGTCCTTCTGTTTGCAGGCAGAAACTTTGTCAGCCAGGAAGACCTCGAGCATCCAAGCCGCTTGTTGTTGAAGGGGTCAACAATTTCCTGGTCAGTGTTGCTTCCTACTGATATATCTTCAGTTTCAATGTTTATGTTTATATTTATTTGTTTTTACGACACTTAGCCACACTGATTGTCATTTCTTGCTAAAAAGACAAGTTATAAATTTAATCAATAAAATGAATAGAAAAAACACAGGAAAATCGACATCACCTTTTACAAATGTGTATAATTATTATTACCTTCGGGCCAAGTGTACTGTGTTTTCCTGTCATGACTAATACTTTGGACCCTGCAATTGACCTATACAGCCTGCTTGCCCTGGACTTGGCCTCTTAAAAGCACAGTCTGAAAAAGGATTCTGCATATATTTCCACACGAGATCGACATCGCCTTTCTCATCACTGATGCCAAGAGATGGGGAAGAAAATCACATTCATTTTTCTCATGGAATCATAGAATAATGGAGTTAGAAGGGACCTATAAGGCACTAAATCCAATCTCCTGCTCAGTGCAGGAATCCAAGTTAAAGTACATATATCTGTCAGGTGGCTGTCTAGCTTTCTCCTGGATGCCTCTGGAGTTCCAGCACTCATCATCACCTCCTGAGGACATCGGTTCCATTGCCATGTTGCTGCAACAGTTGGGAAGTTTTTCCTGATATTTAGCCAAAATCTGGCTTCCTGTAATTTGAGACTCTTATTATGTGTTGTGCACTCTGGAATGACTAAGAACAGACTGCCCCTCCTCAGTATGACAACTCTTCAAGTATTTGAAAAGTGCTATTCTATCTCCCCCTCAGTCATCTTTTCTCAAAGCTAAACATGCCCAATTCTTTCAATATTTCCTCATAGGGCTTGATTTCCAGTTCCCCGATCATCCATGTGGCCCTCCTCTGAACCTAATATGCAACAATTCCAAGATATTTTCTCCATGTAGTATTGCTGAGCCAAGTAGAACCCCATCTTGTAACTGTACATTTAGTTTCTTATTCTTACGTGTAGAATTTTGCACTTATCCCTGTTAAACGTCACTTCTGTCGTTTCTATTCCAGTGCTGGAGCCTATCGAAAATTCTCTTGGGATTTTGTTTCTGTCTTCCAAGGCATTAGTTATTCCCTCAATTTGTGGCATACACACATTTGTTAAGCATTCCCTGCACCTTCTCATTTAATTTGTTAATAAAAATGTTGAAGAACATTGGGCTCAGGACTGAGTCCTGGGGTACCCTACTTGTCACCTCCTCCCAGTTTGAGAAGGAACAATGGATAAACACCTCTGAATACGATTCTGTAATCATGTTCTCTTATCATTTTCTTCCACAAATTCAGACAACAGGAAATAGGAAAACAAATGCTGTTTTTATTGTAATAATTAAACCCAAAACAGTTTTTTTAAAAAAAGAACCGAAACCACAAAGACATCACATAAAATCTTTCTTCCTTTGCTATCCATTCCCTCACCACAACAATTCAGGTGTCATTTAACTGTTTTGCCTGCATTTTTAAAAAAATCTCAAGCCATGCAGAAGATACTTATTTTAAAAATCCTATGCTATCCTCAATTGGCTCATTTGCCAACTGGAACAGTTGGGCCCTTGCCTCCCTAATATTAGTTTCAACTAGATAAGCACTCTTTACCTCTGGTCCCTTTAACAGTGTGGATAAAAGTCAATTGGTTATTAAAATTTAAATCATTTTTTCCATTTAAACTGGATTTAAAAAAAAATGTATTGTTAAAATGCTTTGGAAAAAAACCAATGTGATTGTGGTTTTAATATAAAATGCATTATAGGTCAAATATTTCATTATGGAAAGAATCATAAATTCTAATTCTATATTATAAGACAATGTATTTACACAGCATTACTTAAATTGTTTTGTAACAAACTTCCAATATTTCTTCGGACGGGGATGTTAATTTTATGAGAGTCCATAAACTTCTACAGGCTTCCATATAGATTATTTAAGTTAATTTCTCTTTCCCTTTTTGTATGCAGCCTTGCAGACACCATAAGAAAAATCTGCAGCTCTCTTAGTTTTGTGTTTCAAGAGGTGAAGAGCAATATATACAGATGCGTAAGAAGAAACCTGATCACCTTTTTTTTCAGCTTTAACTAAAGCTTTTTCTGGAGCTTCTATTAATACAATGGTGGGAAATTTTGGAAGCCCTATCAAAATTCTCCAAGACTGCTTTCAATCATCTCCTTGAGTGACGGTTCTTCCATTAAAGTGTTCACTCTAGTTATTGTCCCTCTCCAACTCTGTGTAGGCAAATTCAAGTCATCACTTTTGTCTCTAGTGCACACCTTTAGACACTGGAAGTATCAATACCGTATTTGCTGGCGTACAAGACAACTTTTTTGGCCCAAAAACATGCCTCCAAGTGGGGGGGTCATCTTGTACGCTGGGTGCACTTCATTTGGGCCAGGAAGGAGCTGCCGCCGCTGTCGCCGTTGAGTGATGCGGGGCTGCGTTGGCCGGGGAGGAAATTGAGTGACGCGGGGCTGAGCTGGCCGGGGAGGAAGGCAGTCAGTCAGTCCGCCACCCACCCGCTTCCCCTCTTCCTCCAGTCAGTCTGCCACCCACCCGCTTCCCTCTTCCTCCTCCTCCTCCTGCAGCCGCCCGCCCAACCTCTTCCTCGCCCTCCTCCCCGCCGGCCATGAACTTCCCAGAGCCCTGGGCAGTCGCCACCGGCGCCGCAGCAGAGCCGTCCGCTCTATATTTTGAGTGGAAATATTGGGGGGTCGTCTTATACGGCCAGTCATCTTGTACCCCGGCAAATGCAGGTAAACAGAAGATTACTAAGGGTCAAGAAGGATAGTTAAAATACTCACAGGCAGTGGCCTGGCTTCCCCACCCTGCCTCCTCTGGAGGCTGCCTCTGAGTGGGCACCTATTGGAGGGGGCAGGGCTTTGAAGCATCAAACACCTGTTCAGCCACTAAATGAACCGACACACACAGTTGAACCGGCCATTTGTGGCCATCTCCAATTAAAAATAAATGTGAAAAATACTGTATGTATCATGATAGGACAAGTCTTCATGTTTGAAAATACAATGATTAAATCAAGTCCTTCTGACAAGCAATTTCAATGATTTATATCAAAATAATTTAAACTAAATCTATCCTGTTCTTTACTGAACTCCTAACCAATCTTTCTTTTCCCACACTTCTTTTCCCCCCCTCTCATGCCTCCTGAACATGCCTACTCTCAATTTGTAGTAATACAGGCGTACCTCGGTTTACGTAATTTTCAGTTTACAAATCAAAATCCGTAAGAAATAAAATGCCTCAGTTTACGTTTTTTCCTGGGGGAGGGGGGGTTTCGCTGTATGAAAAGGAAGGTTTCTTGCACTGTCCCTGTTGCTACGGCAATCTGCATTCCGGTTTACGTAATTTCCACATTACGTAACGTCCCGGGTGACGGATTAATTTCATAAACCAAGGTACACCTGTAGTCAGTTTGGGCAGCAACTCCCCTCCAACATTTTCATCTCATTGTCACTGTCATCATCATCATCACCACCACCAACACCATCACCATCATTTTAGAACTGCAGAGTAACTCATATAAACTCAGATATCCACTCATGTACGAATCTGCCATCCTGAAACCCTCCAACTGGATGCCATTCACATTTAGCTAGTCTTTGCTCCCCTTCTCACCAAAAATGAAACTATTTTATATGATGACTTTCATCTGAATATTCTAAACAAACAGTTTATTATTAAGTGTTTTTAATCGTCATATGTCTATCCTGTTTTTTATTTTCAAAATCATGGGCTACAACTTCTTGCTTCTGGTGCCCATTCCCAATGGCATTCATTGACTCACCCTCCAAAAAATTCTCCATCTATACTCAGGCTGAGCATGTGAATGTATACACAGATCAGCTAATAGACATAACAGTAAAACTATCAGACATAAGCACTGCTGACAAGAAGGCTCAAAAGCAATTGCCTCCCCTTCTCTCTCCTCCACATTTTTCCTATTTTCACTCTGGAGATCTGTATTCTCCCATTCAGGTTTTTGATCCAACACAGACTTTACTTACCTCCATCAGCACAACATCACCGAGCATTGCCAGATCATTGACCAGACCGATTTTTCCTATATTCACTATCAGATCCTTCTCATTTTGTATGCCACATGTACAGGTCTGTGTTTACCTGTGGTATCTGATCTTATTTTTGCTCACTAATCTCCATCTGTACTCTTAGTTTCCTTGCTCTGTATTCAGGGACTGATATAACTAAGCAAATAATCTCTTTTCTCACAGTTTGAATCTCACTCTCTGCAGCAGCTCATCTTGCTTGCTGCCCACAATACTGTACAGATAACTTTCCAGAAGAATCAGCCATGAAGGTACTGGATATACAAGTCATCTGGAATTATCATGTCTGTTGAACGCAATATATGTGGCAAGAAATAAAGTATATTAATAAAGGTTATAATCCATTAGAATAAATAGTTTCACAGCAGCTGGCTCCAGTTTCAATATGGAGCCAGCCATAAACTTTTCAACACAACCCACATCCATCAATATGGGGGGGGGGGCAGAAAACACTTACTGACATCAAAAGCATATAACACATTGCAGGCTCCCTCGGTGTCATTACGGCCACCCCAGATGTAGATGGTGTCATCAATGAGCACCGCAGAGTGTCCATATCGCATGTAGGGAACTTCCCTCACATGGTCCTCGCTCTCTGTTCGTACTGGTGGCAGCTTGGTCCAACGTAGAGAGACTAAAAGAGAGAAAAGGATCTGAGAGTATGATTTCACTTGCTTGCTTTCATGGTTTCAAGACATTAGGCAGCCATGGGTATAAGCGACAAGAAATATAATTGAGAAAAGCAATTGAACTGCTTGAATTTAGCAAATCACAGAAGAATTCCAATTCTCTTCTATAAAATCTTGGATTGCATATGAGAAGTAAAAGACCAAAAAGGAAAGTAATCTAGCACTATTTAGAAACAGAACATGAGCAATGTAAAAAAGTGAAGATCACTAGTTTATTGTGAAGATGTCATATTCTGTGTCAATGCACGAAAAAGAAACCAAAAGAAAACAATATTGCCAGCCCTAAGGTTCTGATGGGATTAACATAAATAAACATATATCAGAGAAAACTAAGGGCCCTGAAATTCTGCTTTGTCTGCTGTTAAGTAAAGTTAAATACAGTATACAGTTTATGAACATGGAACAGAGAGTGTTAGCAAAATGGCAAAACATCCAAGGCAACACACACTACAGAGGAGTGCTGACTGTTATTAGTAATTGAAGCAGCAGTTTTCAGATGACTTACAAATCCATTGTTTGTTTTCACAAAACTGTTGCTGGGACACCTGCCAAAAGCTACAGTATTACACAACCCAGTGAACATTTGCGCCTGGATTTCCCATATCTGAATCTGCCAATATGGTTCACTCTGCTGCTTGCCTTACAGATTTTGCTTTTCTTTCCTCCTTCCTTGTGATTAACGGAAACCTGCATGTTATACAATACTTCTGACCTCTTTGTTTTCACCTGTTCAGAACTACCTGGTTTGAACTACACTGCCTCAAAATAACCATAATTAGGCCCATTCAAAACAAAAAAAAAATTTTGAGATGCAGAAGAGACGTCCTTGACAGACTCAATAGACCAAAGACAACAAAACAGAGGCATTAGCTTTTGATTTTGTTCTCCTCAAAAGGCGATCTGCAACTAATGTGGGAACTTTTGGACATTACATCTTCCTTGACATAAAGGTCTTCCCATGTGCAGCATACTAAGATACACATACTGTTTTGTGCTGGTGTGTATATCTGAATTTTTATTCCAATCTATTTCTCCAAGTTAATTTACAAGCTGTTCAAAATTAATTAATGGCTGAAATTTTCTGGCTTAATGTAGCAAATCCCACTAGAGTAGACCATCAACTCCTATGAAAGTTCTCTTGATTCAAATGGACCCACTCTAGTTATATCTTACTTTAGCATAAAGTGAGTGATATGAAATGCTCCTCTGGTTAAATTGCAGTACAACAGGAAGGGTACGCAGGAACTCTTAAGAAGTGTGGAAACTTCATGATGAAACATACAAAAAGTCTGCAAAACAATCTAGATGCTTGTCAGTGTGCAAGCAATAGCACTGTGACCCAGGACTAAATTTTATCCTCTACAGGGAGAAAATGCCAGAAAGATACACCTTAGCAGCCACTGAACAGCAAAAATAAGAGAACAGGTAAAAGAAAAATGTGTAATTCGCTGATAAAACTCTATGTCTCAATATATCATTGCAATCAAGAATTTATCTGGATTTTTAAAAAATGAATGTATGTGTATGTACAATTTTATGTGTGTGTTTCCTCTTGTGTTGTATCTTGTACTTATGTTGATAATAAAAACAAACAAAAAAGAAAGAGTGGAAAATATATTCAGTGCATTTTTTTAGAATCACAGAATAATGGAGTTAAAAGAAGCCTATAAGGCTATGGAGTCTAACCCCCTGCTCAATGCAGGAATCCAAGTATATCTGACATATGGTTGTCTAACTTTCCCTTGAATGCCTCTAGCGTTAGAGCACTCACTACCTCCTGAGGTAACTGGTTCCATTGTCACACTGCTCTAGCAGGAATTTTTTCCTAATATTCAACTGGAATTTGGCTTCCTATAACCTGAGCCCATTATTATGTGCCCTGCACTCTGGGATGATCAAGAACTGATCCTGCTACTCCTCTTTATGAGAGTGTTTCAAGTATTTAAAGAGTGCTATTACATATCTTATCAGACTTCTTTTCTCAAGGCTAAACATGCCCAGCTCTTTCAGACTTTCTTCACTGGACTTGATTTCCAGTCACCTGATTATCCGTCTTCCCCTCCTCTGAACTTGACCAATATGTCAGCGTTCTTCTTAAAGAGCAGTGTCCAGAACTGGAAACAGGACTCAAGATGAGGCCTCGTTGTTGTTTAGTCGTGTCCGAGTCTTTGTGACCCCATGGACCAGAGCATGCCAGGCCCTCCTATCTTCCACTGCCTCCCGTAGTTGTGTCAAATTCACGTTGATTGCTTCGATGACACTGTCCAAACATCTCATCCTCTATCATCCCCTTCTCCTCTTGCCTTCACACTTTCCCAACATCAAGGTCTTTTCCAAGGAGTCTTTTCTCATGAGATGGCTAAAGTACTGGAGCTTCAGCTTCAGGATCTGTCCTTCCAGTGAACACTCAGGGTTGATTTCCTTTAGAATTGATAGGTTTGTTCTTCTTGCAATCCAGGGGACTCTCAAGAGCCTCCTCCAGCACCACAATTCAAAGGCATCAATTCTTCGGCGGTCAGCTTTCTTTATGGTCCTGCTCTCACTTCCATACATCACTGCAGGAAAAACCATAGCTTTGACTATTCGGACTTTTGTTGGCAAGGTGATGTCTCTGCTTTTTAAGATGCTATCAAGGTTTGTCATCGCTTTCCTCCCAAGAAACAGGCGTCTTTTAATTTTGTGGTTGCTGTCTCCGTCTGCAGTGATCATGGAGCCCAAGAAAGTAAAATCTGTCACATCCTCCATATCTTCCCCTTCTATTTGCCAGGACGTGATGGGACCAGTGGCCATGATCTTATTTTTTTTTTATGTTGAGTTTCAGACCATTTTTTGCACTCTCCTCTTTCACCCTCATTACAAGGTTCTTTAATTCCTCCTCACTTTCTGCCATCAGAGTGGTATTATCTGCATATCAGAGGTTGTTGATATTTCTTCCGACAATCTTAATTCCGGCTTGGATTCCTCCAGTCCAGCCTTCCACATGATGTATCCTGCATATAAGTTAAATAAGCCAGGGGACAATATACAGCCTTGTTGTACTCCTTTCCCAATTTTGAACCAATCCGTTGTTCCATATCCAGTTCTAACTGATGCTTCCTGTCCCACGTATAGGTTTCTCAGGAGATGGATAAGGTGGTTAGGCACACCTATTTCTTTAAGTATTTGCCATAGTTTGCTGTGGTCCACACAGTCAAAGGCTTTTGCATAGTCAATGAAGCAGAAGTAGAAAGTAGTGTCAAATCCATGGGATCTGGAGACTATACTTCTCTTAATGCAAACTAAAACAATGTTTACCTTTTTTGCAGCCACACTGTACTGTTGGCTCATATTCAGTTTGTTATCTAGAACACTTCCAAGATCCTTCTTGCAGATTGCTTCTACTATATGTTTTAGAAAATTGGGGATTTTTATGGGCCTGTCCACACTGGCATATAGATATGATCTTGGGAGAAAAGGTTTGGATTAGGGGGGAAAAAACTGTTTTCACTTGTGTTTCTACTTTGAACAATCTATCTTTCCATTTTAAGAGCTGTCCCACACCTTTCCGGCCCAGCAGTAGGGCATGCAGTCTTTTTTGGCATGCTCATTGTTGAGTTTGATTAGCTGGGAAATGAAACCTGAGCCTGCTAGAGGATGCTAAATGCCATTGTGGATGCAGATTCAGAGGGAAAGTAGGGACAGAACAAGGGAAGGGAAGCAGGGCAAGGAGGAGGAAAAAAACAAAATGGACCAACAGAGGAGAGAGCAAGGATGGGGGGGGGAACCAATCAGCTTAGTTGACAGTTGATTGGGCCATAAGGGATTGTTTGCTGTTCAGATGGGAAGAGAACACTAAATGACATACTGTATCGTTCCTACCCCCTTGACCTCAACAGATCTTTTTGATTGGGCCATAAGGGATTATTTGCTGTTCAGATGGGAAGAGCACACTAAATGACATATTGTTCCTACCCCCTTGACCTCAACAGATCTTTTGTAGCCCATAGTCAAGATGATCTTAAAATACCTTTCCACATCTTCCTTAAATAGCTTTGGGACTACCCACTCGTAAACATGGTATCAATATGAAACAAGGCAATAATATAAAGTGCAAAGCTACAGTACCTTGCTTTGTTAACCTGAATTGATGCAATGGAAGAGATCTTCCATTGTTAATAATGCTTAATAATCAGCTGGGCAACATCAAATTATTTTTGTTAGATAGTATAAGTAACAAAACTTCAGTTTAAGAACAGAACAAAAGATGTATTCATGCATTTTATATAACCATTTCATTTCACTGTTTATGCCCCTTTCTCTCGAAGAGGACCAAGGCAGCTAACATTTCGTTTTAAAATTGATTAACATTAATCAGCTTAATGTGCTCCAAGCTGGTGGTAGAAACATTACACTGTGCTAACATGGCTATGCATGCTTTTGTTTTTTGTCTGGTAGCATAGTTCATGGAGTATACATTTTTCAAAGAGAGCCAAGACATGAGCCTAGTATTTTGGACAGAAAGGTAGTAACTCAAAAATTATCTTCTCTCTGAACACCTCCTGCTATAGAAACTGAAAGAATGAATGAGTCCCAAACAACTGAATTTCAACCAAGAGATGTACAGGTATGATTAAAACAAATTAAGTGTGAAATGGCTGATTAATGTACCCCTCAAATGAAGAGTTCAGTGGTTTAGGCATTCAGCTGTGGAGTCAGAGGTTGGGAGTTCAATTCTCCACTGCGCCTCCTTGATAAGGGCTGGACTTGAGGATCCATAGGTTCTAAGATTTTAAGAATCATTTCTTTTTGTGTTTATCCTATTCTTGAGGTCAGTCAGAGAACATTTTCATTATTACAAGTGGATCTCCCATTTAAACTCCCTAAATAGAGAAAATATGTTTTAATATCTAATATCTAATATTACATCATATCTAACAACATAATCAAGATATCATACTGGAATGCTAGCTTCTCAGAACTTCAGGACTCTTACCTGCATTAAATACATGAACATCGATCTGTCGCAGAGTTCTATAGTCTTCACCAGAACAGTAGCCACCAAAAGAGTACACTTTGTGGCCAACTGCCACTGCAGCGTGGTTGACTCTTCGGGGCCCACCTTCTAAATGCACTGTCCACCGTAACATTCCCTTTTGTGAGTGCTCAGTCCCTCCAAGCTGGGGGTGGAGGCATTACACTTTTAGAGCTACAGGTCTGGCAGCCATATTGGTCCGTAGCCTCAGAATTCTGCAGAGAAAGAATGCAAATGTTATATATTAGTATGTCTTTTCAGGTGCACTACAAAATGAATCTGGATCACCTTATAACAGCCTTCCTACTCAATAATATGTTCTAAGAATATTAGACTACATTTTCCATTTTTAAAAGAATTCTTGGGTGCCAGAAAGCAATTATGAGTTTTACATATGTAATAAGTTAATGAGAACAGAATATAGAAGGACATAATATTTAATGAGAAAATATGCAGTACAAAATGTAACCACTGCCTAAATAGAGGTTAAGAACTCGTCACAAAGGCCTAAAATCATCTTAAGACTAGTGGAGGGGGGGGGAGGTAGCACATGCCTTGAATGACATTGCTCTCTAACCCTCTTATCCAAACAGCTAGATGCCACCATGACACTAATTCTGAAAACATACAGTTGAGAATGCAATGAGTCTTGCACTAGCGCAATAACATCACTGGATGCAAGTCACTGTGTCAATAATTCAGGAAGGCATCTAATGCCAACCTCTTCCTCACTGATCACTGCTTTATACAACACATATTTAATGTAAACAATGATACATTTCTGGTATCACCTGGCAGGACGAAGTTCCAAATAGAGTAGTCCTAGAACGATCTGGAATTTTTAGCATGTATGCATTCCTGAAACAGTGACATCTACGTTGGCTGGGGCATGTCGTGAGAATGGCTGATGGTCGGATTCCAAAGGATCTCCTGTATGGAGAATTAGGGCAGGGAAATTGCCCCAGAGGGAGACCACAGCTGGGATACAAGGAGATCTGCAAGCGGGATCTGAAGGCCTTAGGAATGGACCACAACAGATGGGAAATGTTGACATCTGAGCGTTCAGCCTGGAGGCAGGAGGCGAGGCAAAAAGGCAAACATTTTGAAGAGACCCGTGTCCAGCAGGCCGAGGCAAAAAGGCAGTCCCGAAACCAGCAAAATCAGGGAGCTAGAGAGGGGACAGATTGTATTTGGCTTCAGTGTGGAAGCCAAATACAATTGGCCTCTCGAATTGGCCTTCTCAGCCACACTAAGTGCTGTTCCAAGTCCTCCATACAGAGCACGTTACCATAGTCTCTTGAGACTGAAGGATGCCTAATCTAAATTTAATGTAAATAATGGCTACATTAATATATACAGTGGTACCTCAACTTACAAACTTAATCCATATTGGAATTAAGTTTGTATGGCGAAAAGTTCACAAATGGAGTCAAACTTTCCCATTGGAATGCATTGAAAACCATTTAATCCATATCTGCTGTTTTCCGTTCGTATGTCAAGGCGCTGTTTGTAGGTAGAGGCATTAGTTCCCATAGGAACTAATGCAAAGCTGGTTAATCTGTACTCTACCACTAGGGGGGGATTTTTAGATTTTGTTCTTCTTTTGACTTAAGGTTAACTTAGGTCAAAAAAAGGGAAGGAAAGGTTTTTCTTTCTTTCTTTTTTTTGGTTCGGAAATCAAGGCTCCGTTCGCAAGTTCAACCAACTTTTTGCGAACGGAGCCGTTCATAGTTCGAATCGTTCACAACTAGGGACATTCTCAAGTCGAGGTACCACTGTAGTGCCAACAATAGTTCGTACTCTGTACATTTGTTTTACAAGAAGGTGTTTTCGTCTACCCTGGGGAAAACTGTAAGTACTATACGTTTACTGCTAAGAACAGCAGCCAGGGGACAAACCTCCTTCCCTCCACTCCACATCATGGGCTGGCACTAGCAAGGAGGTGAGTCAGTGAGTGTGTGTAATAACATCAGAATACAAGGTGAAGTGCACTGCACAAATGTACGGAAGGAGGTGGGGACTTAAGGTCTGCCATTTTTGGTGGCAGCCTTTTAAAAAAATAATATATAATTCCACTCTCACAACAGAACTATGAACCCAACCAGCGTACATGCTTCTAGATGCCCACAACCTTTTGCTCCCATAACTAGAGTTGTTACAATACCAGTCTAATTATTGTGGCCCTGTATGGGTGTGAAAGTTGGGAGAGTACAGAAGCCTGACAGGAAAAAAAAAACACTATTTGAAATGTGGTGCTGGAGAAGAGCTTTGTGGATACCCTGGACTATCAGAATGACAAACAAGTAGGTCTTACAGCAAATCAAACCAGAACAACCTCAGGAAGCAAAAATGATGAAATTGAAGCTTTGGGCGCATCACGAAAAAGTAAGATTCTTCAGAAAAGATAATAATGCCAGGAAAAGTTGAAGGCTGTAGGAAAAGAGGAAGGTCAAATCTGAGATGGACCAACTCAATCAAAGAATACACTGCCTTGAGTTTACAAAAGTTAAGAAGGATTGTTAAGGACAGGACATTTTGGAGACTGTTTATTCATAGGTTTATCATAAATTGCAGGCAACTTGACAGCACAAAACAAAAATGCATGAAGGATCACAAAAGAAGCATAAAGCAATTAAGATTCCTAGTAAGACTAACTAAGCTACACTCAGTAACAGAAAACAATAATAAATAATCTGAGTAATAAAAAAGCTCCAAGGAAGGTCGCTGTCATCAACAGTCATTTGAAGTTGCATTACAGTTGTAAACTTTTTATAGTAATTTTAACTGTTCTAGGCAGACTTTTAAGAAAAAAACCGCTCAAGGTGGCTTATATAAAAAGGATGAACATAATATTAAATATTAAGATTAATACTAGAGATGGGCATAAATTGAACTGCGAACCAGAAAAAAAAAAAACGAGGAATCAGGCTGGTTCACAATTTAGTTTCCAACCTGGTTGGGGGAAGAGGATGGGCAGGCATCCGTTTTGCTGAAGCAAAATGAAACACCGAGGGAAAAAAGAGTTTGGCACTTCATTTTATTTGGCACAACAGGATTCCAGAACTGGGCCATGAACTGAACCAGCCCAGTTCCTCAGTTTTTCTGGTTCACGTCCATCTCTATCTCCCATCAAAGAATGAGTACAACCCTACATCCACTGGGGAAGAGGATGGGCAGGCATCCGGTTTGCTGAAGCAAAATGAAACACCGAGGGAAAAAAGAGTTTGGCACTTCATTTTATTTGGCACAACAGGATTCCAGAACTGGGCCATGAACTGAACCAGCCCAGTTCCTCAGTTTTTCTGGTTCACGTCCATCTCTATCTCCCATCAAAGAATGAGTACAACCCTACATCCACTTCAAACAGATTGCCTTCAAACAGATTACTAGCAAAATCTGCCGCAAAGAACACAATGATGGCAAATGTAGAACTTCACACAGATTTGTAATTCCAGCATTTCGCCTCCACAGGTACAACAGTTGCAAGGTGGGCTGTAATAATGCCGTCCCTTTCATTCATTCATAACTGCATGTTGATTCACACATTACTAGGGGCAGGCGATATGTATACTGTATAGCCTTACTTGAAAATTATTGTTACAGGCAAAGATTCCCTTACACCAGCGGTTCACAACCTTGTGTAACCCAGGTGTTCATAGACACCTGAGCCAGGACAGCTGGTGGTGAAGACATCTGGGAATTGCAGTCTTGGGTTACCCAAGGTTGGCAACCATGATCCAGAGGTGCACACCGGTAATAGAAAAGCACCAGTAATAGTAAAGCAGGTAGGTTATTACAGAAGCAAGTTGGAAAATCAACCCACAAGAGAAAAATCAGGAGTTAAAAAGGTTTAAACCTGCTCACCTCTCTACAGCTACTGTATGCATCTAAATAGAAGGAAAATAAAGAGCTGCTTTGCACTTTGCCATCACTATGGTGGGAGTTCTTGTCTAAAACCTAGCTTGATTGAGCAATTCAGAATGTTATTATCAGGTATTTCAATTATGTGGGTGTTCATAAAATGACAGAATATGTCCTATTGTCTTCACTATTCCGTTCCTGCCTAGAACAACAAACTCAGTGCTAATCTATGCTTGGAAATCTCTGCTTCAAAAAATATCTAGTTTTTCTGAAAAACAACATTTTTAAAAAAAGCATATGACCTTAAAGAAATCCAGTAAAGCAGCTGATGTCATTTTTTTCATTCTGTACAGCATCAAACAAAGGATAGCTTATGCTAAATCAACATCTGTGAGATTTTTGGAAGATGTCAAGATTTTCATTTTTGAAAAACCTCTCCAATACCTTCTCTTCGCATAAAAATCCAATATTTAAATTTGAGTGCTTTCATGTCTGACAAATTCAAACATAGACACTCATAAGAATTAGTAGATGAGAATGCAAGCATAAAATATATGTTAGGAAAAGTGGTTAGGAAAAGAGGCAGACATCCAAGCAGTTAAATGTAGTGAAACCCAATGATGAAAAGAAACAACAACAAAAATAGTGTAAGAGTGGGAGGTGTCAATATTTTTAATTTTTGTTTGGAGTGGGAAAATTGTTTCTTTGAAGAATAAAGCTAGCAATGCAGCAATGAGTTTAACATTAGAATCCCAAGAAGAAAAGATCATTGTCCCAGATAGTGGCATGTAAAAGCAATTTTGTTCTATACGCTTCACAATATAGGAAATAATGAGGAATATTTCAGCTTCCTGAGTTTCTTTCAAAAAGGAATTGATGTGGGACATGCATAAAAGGGACTCGAGGAAAAATATTTTGTACAGATTAGTAAGGGTTTCCTTTCAAGCAGCTTGCACATTATAAACACCATTTTTAAAATTTATGCAACAATAACGTAGTTTGGTATTTTACAGGGCAATGTTATGGTAGCCTTTTGGCACACTTATGTGTGAACATAAACAGGTTTTTTAAATTTACATTTGTTTTTGTTATGTGTTAACCTAACAGGGTTAATAGAGTGCCTCTTTTGAGTCCAATTAGCCTGTGGGGCCTTGGGCAAGCGACAGCCCCAGAGTAGCCCCAGAAAAAGGTAAAGGTAAATCACTTCTGAGTATTCTCTGTTTGGTAACCCTGAAAAGGGTTGTCACAAGTCGGAATTGACTTGATGCCACATGATGATGATGTATTGGGGATTTTAAGACATGTCAAATGCTCAAGAAGCTTTTACTAACCCTCAGTGATTTTCCATGCTCAA